AAACGGATCCCAACAATTATGTCTGGATCCGCCCAGCTGCGTGAGTGACAGCTGGCTCTGCCTATCTAGAGGCAGAGACAGATGTACCCGCCCCCTGCCCCGTCCGTTCTGCCAGTCAGCGCTGGAGGATCGGACAGGGGAGAATCCAGTCACTCCCCTGTCACGGCTCTCTGCAGTGACAGGATCAAGAAGTGAGCTAGCACCGGTATGTGTTCACTCACTTCCCGATCTAATGAGCCGACCTGTGACAGTTTCATTGTCACAGGTCGGCTCAGATTATGAGGCTGAGTGAAAAACACTCACCTCATAATTCTCCTTTAAACTTTCCTATAGCTTTTAGATCTGCTGTGGTTCCTAGTTGCAATGAATCAGACTGGCCTGATGCTGCTGTACTTAAAACAAGCAATAATGTAACAGTAAAACAATAAACTTGCAAAATATGTAATACAATGTTGCTGATGCAGTCTGTGACTATCATACTGTTCCATAACTCCATATATAGCTAATAGTGATCTCCCAATAATGTAATTTAAAGGATTGCTGTTTTTCCCCAAAGTTGCATTTAAAGGCGGGCCTTCTCCTCACTTTACATTTTTCCTAAAATGTTCTTTTTGACTTGGCACAATGGACTGGATTCCCCGTCCCCTGTCCGATCCTCCAGCGCTGACTGGCGGAATGGACGGGGGAGGGGGCGGGTACAGCTGGCTCTTCCTCTAGATAGGCAGAGCCAGCTTTCACTCACACAGCTTGGTGGATCCAGACAGAATTGTCGGGATCCGTTCCGGCTGCGGCATCTCAGTATACCGCGCCTGTAGTTCGCGGTATACTGAGCTTCGTGTGACGGGGGGACGCTAGTTTGTGTCCTCCCGTTACCCTTAGGAGAACTATGGGGAAAAGCCCTAAACCCATAGTTCTCCTTTAACTCAAATAATTGAATTAAGATAAGCACCACGACTGCTAGGCTAAAAATTAGCAGACATAGGCCATATATTTCTCAGAGTACCACAACCTTTGTCCATCTTTGTAGTCTGTAGAGTTGTTGTTTTCCCTCATTATATCCAATATGGCATACTTAGGGATGTGAGCAATGAACTGGAAGCCACATTCCCTATGAGTATGCAACCATCCCCCAGCCAGTATCCCCTCCACTTCCTACCTAGAGGACAGGCCTGTGCTCTCTGTGAGTGAGCCTGGTGTGAAACAGCATTCATTGTAAATGAAAGAACGGTTTTCCAGGGTTTCCCTTTCACAGGTTTTTAGTATTGTGTACTTACTGAGTGACAGAACAGGAAGCACGTGAAGAAGCCAGAAGGTGATGGCAAAACGCATCAGAGCACATGTGCATCTCAAATTGGCTCCCTAGCATATCCATATCCATTGGCTCCCATAGCATATCCAAGAGATGGGAAATCACCAAGACTTTAAGGGGCCCTTTACACTGTTGACATGCATTAACATGCATTATGCTGCACCTTAACATGTGTAATGTCAAGGAAGCCTTTTCATCTGAATAGGCTGCATAACTCACCAAAAACATGAAAAGAGTATATGCCATTTTTGTGTACCAGTGCACTACAAAGAGCAGTAGTGCATTATCATGTGCTGCAACCCACATCAGACGGCAAGGGGCTTTTGGGTGCCACTTATGGAAAACACGTACCAATGCGCATTGCTGAGGACCTATTCACGGTTACACGCGTTATTGTGATGTGGTGCCATGCAGAATGAAACACATAGCTGCATGCAAATGGGCCCTCAAAGATGCACTGTGTCGGACATTTGTATGATTTTAACATATACAAAGCACAAAAGTCAACAGACTATATAGGAGCTCCTCCATATATACTAGAATTAGTAGTTTTGTTATTATGTGTAGCCCCTTGCAATCAGAGAGACAACAGTGCACTCTCTGAAAATACATTATCACCCCTCCCCTCGTGATTGGAGATGTTTCCCCTCCGCTGACAAGTCAATATTTTGGCTTTTTCCTGACTTTAATCGGGAGAGTGGTCATCAGGACAATTCTGGGATGGAGGGAGAATCTTCTCAGAGGTGACAAAGACCACAATAAAAAAACAAACTTGACTTGGGGTTCTAACCACTCTATCCAAAACTTGAAAAAAATAAAATAAAAAGCGGCTTGAGCTGCAGACTAAGGGGGTTATTAACAAAGCTGCCGAAAGCAGCTGAGTGAATAACCCAACCGAAGTGAAGTGAGCCGAACAACGTTTGGCTATTCACTCTGGCTCAGTACGGCTGATTTCAGCAGTACATCGGCTGCACTTCAGTCAGCCGAACATGCTCTGCATGTTCGACTGAGCCGAAGGCCTTCGACTCAGCCGATCCAACATCTGGATCGGCTGAGCCAAAGCCCCGGCAGCTCACTCGCTGCCGCTCGCCCCTATTCTGCTCGGTACCTCCGTGTTATTGAGCAGAATAGAAAATCAATGAAATTTTTTTTTCAAATTTAAATAGTTAAAAAAAAATAAGAATTTTTTAAAAGAAAAAATAAGTAAATTATAAACAATTGGGCAGCGCTAACATTGAAAGCTAGCTCCGCCCAACTGTTTCCTATTGGCCAGCACTTATTGTTTATTGACAGTTCAGCGTCCTCAGGTCGTTTGGGGACGCCGATCTGTCATCACAACTAGTCGGAGCCAGCCATCGTACGATGTTCGGCTGGTTTGTGGCATGTTCGCAAGATAAAAGCCGCACGGGCCATTCGGCATTGCGGTCATCGCAAGTACGATCTGCCTATCCAAGATAGGCAGATCGTACGTTTTTTTAATTACCTTACAACCATCGCAAGACAAAAGTCTCGCGATGGTTGTAAGGTGTGTGCCCAGCCTAAGACTTTAAAAGACTAAGACTTTGAAATTGGGCAATGGATAACCAGTGTGTCCAATCACTGCTGCCGTGTTCTATTTGGTGCACCAAACTTCCCTTAAGCTAGTGTCGTCTGAAAATAAAGGATTACTACAGAGCCTGCTTCCAGTGCACACTAAATCCTAGGACCCAGGAAATGCCACACACAGTGTACCGTAAGGTGTTGTGTTGCACTTTATGTGCAAGTGCAGTGTTGTTTCTCAGAGAGTGGACCTGACTTGCTGTGTTCCTTATTGTATTAGGCAATATCCAGTTATACAGAAGTAGTATGAAAGGGGAGCACAGACTAGTGTCTTATGCTGTGCAGTATTATCTGAGCTATAAACCCAGGATCCAGTTTGCTTTCTGCACCTGGCCATACACTGCTCAAATTTTGTCCAAATCCTGCTGCCGTCGACTTATGTTTGTCAAAGGAGCGTATCGGAAAAATCTTGCCTGAACAGTGACTGCAGCCAATTAGCCGCTGTCAGAATACATAAAGCATGCATCAGGGATTTGGCTGAATGAGAAAAAAAAATACCCAGCCTTCTAATCCCATATATACGGTTTGTGAAATAGGGAGAGAAAACACACAGTATTGGGAGTGAGTGTGTGTGTATATATAGACTGGAGTTTTGCTTTAAAAGGAGAACTATGAGGTGATTTTCACTCAACCTCATAGATCAAGCCGACATGTGACAATGAAACTGTCACATGTCGGCTCAACAGTTGTCGGTAGGCATGTACCGATACTAGTATCGGTGCCGAGTACTCTTACCCGCCCAAATGTTCCAATGCCTAGCCCGATGCTTCCTGTAATAGGACTGTCTCTCACGGCTCCCTGCAGGGATCCCCTCCCCTCCAGTGCTGACTGGAGGAACTAACAGGGGAGGGGGCGGGAACAGCTGGCTCTGCCTCTAGATAGGCAGAGCCAGCTGTCAATCACGCAGCTGGGTGGATCTCGACAGTAATGTCGGGATCCGTCCCGGCTGCGGCGATCTCAGTATAACACAAGCTGTAGCTCGCAGTATACTGAGTTTTGGGTCACGGGGGAGCGTGCCACGCTCGAGCGGATGTGGCAGGACGTGTATACACACCCAGTTACATCCAAGAAGCATACACGGCCGGCAGGTCGTTAAGGACAATTGTTCTTTTTTGACTTAAAGCCCTATTGAAGGGTACAACCCAAATCTTTTTTTTTTTTCCATTAATGGTTCAAAACCTGATCAGGACACTATCTGCAAGGAGTTTGCATGTTCTCCCTGTGCTTGCGTGGGTTTCCTCTAGATGCTGGCTAGTAAACTGTAGGTCGCCCCAGGGTGCGTGTTGGACTGCTGCAGAGGGAGACTGCTGCTCTTGCACAGCAGTGCTCTCAGTAGCATATGGCAAGGAAACAACCATTATTCTTGGGCTGGTGGGCGATTGATCAAAAAAAAAAAACGACAAATGGTAGACCAAAGAACTCTTACTATTTTGCTGCACTCCGATTTAAATTTTAGCACTTGGGCTGAAGTGAACAATCGGTCTTTAAGAGTGTGCATTATCTGAGAAAGGCTATGTACAATGCAGAAATGTCACCTTGCTAAATATAGAAAGATATCCGTGGACAAAAGCAGAGCCCTGTTGGTAAGCTTTAATGATTTTGGTGTTCTGGTGACGAATGTCACAGACACAGCAAGAGAGGGGTACCTCCCCATCAAAATCCTGAACAAAAGCTCATCTTGGTGGCCACCATTACGGAGACAGGAAAAAAAAAAAACCGTAATAAAACCTGACAGTTTCCAAACGAGCCCCACGTTATCCAAAAGGTAAAAAGACAAAACAAAACACAACCTTGCCTAGTCTTCTCTCTTGTTCGGTCTTTCCATCCTTCATTTTCTTTAGGCGGTTTAGGCTGAACTTGGGCTGTGGTGCGCCCCTGATGATGTCACACATTGACCATATCATCTTACGTTGTGTTAGATTTATTTACATTCTGTGCACTACGCTTGTATTGTTCTTTTGACTATATTATTAAAAATGATAAAAGAATTTACAAAACAAAAATACATTTAAAAAGGTTTTGGCTACAGTTAAGAGTTCGTCAAATGCACTAAAAAGTGCAAAAAAACGCTCATATAATATGCATGCGCACTTTTATTATTGTAGAACAAAAAATATAATACAAGCAATAACATTTTAATTTGAAATAATTTCCACAAGAGATTCATAGTCCGCAAAATCACTAAGAGCTTGAATCATCTCATCTAAAAGTTCATCACCAAGCAAAAATCCTTCTAAATTGTTCATAGACTTGTTAATACGGTGGTCTGTAATGCGGTCTTGTTGGAAGTTGTAAGTGCGAATTTTTTCTGATCGTCCTTTCGTGCCAACCTACAGAAACAAAAATATATGAAAATAGATGGCCACACAGAATCGCTATATACACAGATGTCAATAAAAGATTTTTTTTTCTACCACTGTGGGGGAGGGTTAGAAACCATCATGTTTTTTTTCCTGTGTGTCCCTGTTCGGGATATTTCCACTTCCTGTGTGGTCAAGACAGAGAGTATGGGGGATCCCCCAACAAAGAAATAGCAGTCAAAGTAGAATGTAGCTCCCTTCACAAATCTATTCAAAATTGAAGAAAAAAAAAAACTAAAAATGTTTACGCTACAGTTTGGCAATAATCCCAAACGAGGTACAAAATATAATACCAGACCTTACAGCATACCACATGCAAGCTTACATTATCTGGAATCACAGCTTCTGGATGTGGTCTTATTTCAGATTAAATATACATTTTCTAAGTCCACAGGCTCATTGAATCTGACAGTCAAACATTCACTGTAGGTGAATATTACTGGTGCAGGTGTTTTAAATGACCTTGACTCAATTATCACCAGTTAATGGTTGGTAAAAGTAATTCACTCCTTTACACATATGCCCCTTGGTGTTAGTTAAATTGTATGTATGGCTTAAGCTCCTTTGTGTATGTTTTAGATAGAGTACTGAAAGATTAGAACCCCTGTAAAGTTTTTTTTGTTATCTGGGTCATCACTAGGTAGGTTCACCCTATTTATCCGGGAAGCCATAGTCACCGAGAAAGAAGGCGATGGGGATTCCAAAATTTTAGCGGGGTCAACAAGAGGTGAGGGTAACTCTTCCAATGGAACACCAGTTCTGTTGGCAACGTTCCAAGAGGGGAAATCCCATCACTTTGTAAAGATTACTTTGTAAAGATTTCTTGGAAGCTCCTACTGCATTTCCAGGAAAGGAAATGAAGGTAAAATAATTCCAATAGGACAAACACAGCAAAAAATAAACCAAAATGGATTTTAACCAGACTTCCCTACTCTACCTACAATTGAAAAAAATAAAAATATAATAATAATAATAATAATAATAAGGGATACATACACTTTGGCAAACACATCAAACTTTAGTCCAAACTTACTACAGCCTTATCATTGCCCACAATTCCTCTTATGATTTTCATTTAAAAAAAAAAAAGTATCTGAAATATCTCCAAAACTATTTAAAGCAGAATATACAGTAACTCTTTATGTAACATTTTTACATAGGATTATAGGCATGTGCTATGACAAATTTGTTGCTAAGGCATTATGCTGACAATATGATTGAGGCAATGATGGCACTATCAATTTTAAAATTGTGGGTTATGTATTCATACATACATTTAAAGTCT